TTCAGAGAGGGGAGAGAAAGAGAGAGGAAGTTGGAGAGGTGAGAGAGAGAGGAGACTGCGAGAGGGAGAGGAATAGGGATGATGGGAGAAGACAGGTGGAGAGAGGTGGGAGAGTAGTGAGTGAGGTTGAGGGAATCGAACCCTGACCGGCAACAAGTGAAATCATCGATCTTACACTAGGAGAAGAGAGGGAGGGGCTTGGGAACACCACTTTCTTATGCCTCTACCTCTCTTGAATAGTGATGTTAATTTTAGCTTTGTCCTTAGAATATTATGTAATCTTTCAGCGCAAAGTAGCGCAATTTTCCTTAATACATTGTACCCCTAATAAGCAGCTCTGATTGGCCTGTCTTTATGCCTGAAATTTTTTCCTTGTTAGAAAATTTTTAAATGTCATTCTTACCTAACCATATCTTGTGTTTTTATATTAATAACCTACATGATTTTTTTCACCTCGTTTCGTTCATTGTATTGTTGCTTTTGCAGCCTAGTTTCTGTAACTGCATGTGTGATAACCTGATTCTGGATTCATGAACAGTGCATGTGAACAATTGCGAAGCCTGTACATCTTTACTCAATCATGGCGACTTCGTTTGCACTTATTAAGCAGTTTATGAGCTTCTATGTGAAACGAGATTGTCTATATCAATATTAACTACGGTTTACGAACCAACTCGCAATGTTTAAATGATCGAAAACTGTTTAAGAAATACAGGTTAAGCCGCTAAGATTGAGAGAAGATGTAGATGTTTCGTGAGTGGACACGTAAAAATGCTTGATGAATACTGACAATGCTGTTGGGCCGACCAGGCATAACATGCTTAAGTAGTTTTGTTAATGATTTTAAGGTTAAATGATCATTTGGTAGTTGTTTGCAAACAATTGTAGAGTACTGCCTTTCCACATCATTCCATTCAAATGTCCGAAGCGGTTAGGCTAGGTTAGGTTAGGCTAGATTAGGTTACCAGCTTTTCTGCCCTCTGTAATCCTTGAACACTGTTACTCACAGGAAAGTATCGGGTGCACAATAAACTACGACTCACAGGAGAGTATGAGGTGCACAATAAACTACGACTCACAGGAGAGTATGAGGTGCACAATAAACTACGACTCACAGGAGAGTATGGGGTGCACAATAAACTACGACTCACAGGAGAGTATGAGGTGCACAATAAACTAGCCGCTGCTTGCAGCAACAATAAGAAACTCCTTCCTATATATCATCATAAGCTTTACCCAACAGTTGAGGATTGGATCCCAGTCGATCCTCCGTGTTCTGGGGTCGAACCTGGCCAGGAAACACTCTTGAAAGAGACCGACCGATCACCTGGTTGTGTTTGTCACTCATTAGATCGTTTTCGCGATTTTACAAACAACAAATTCGCAATTTTTTTCGTAAATAGATGTGTCTAAAAATAGACAACTAGTGTAGTCTATCAAGTATAAGACGTTGATATTGTAGAGTGAATAAATTCCCTAAACATCGTAACTTTTATACTGTGGCCAATTGCTACAAAATTTCTAGTAGTTTGTTGCATTATTTTGATAAAATCAGATAAAAAAATGGTAAATCTCGAAGTGTATATCTCTGATATATTTTATATATTAGAGTTATCTCGTGGAAAAGTGTCTACGTTATTGAGTCTGGAAATGGATCTGGCGAAGGAAGTTTTTAGTAAACTCCGGTAATGTTCTCTTCTAATCTGAGGAGAAATCTCCGTGATGTGAAGGCGGCACCAGACAGTAGGCGATGAGGAGCTTGTTCTCCTGCAGTAATGAGAACTGCTTCAGAAGACGCACAATTAGTTTCCTTGTATACGATGGAGAGCGAGTTTCTGGCTGCCTTTACATTTGCATGCGATGGTGCAAATGTAATATGTGACATGCATTTAGGCCTAGAAGGCTCAGCCCTGGAAACACAAGCCTAAACTGTCTCTATTTTCCGCTTGTTACAACTTGTAATAAAGTTAATACATCTTGGCTTAACGTGTTCATGACGTATTAAAACGTTGAAATTGAAATTGAAACATATATATTTTTCCTCCTTTACACTATTAAAACGTTATTACAACTTGCTATATTGGTTGTTATAACTGGTTAGGTAGTGTTAAAACTTGTTCGAACGTTGTACCAACGTCGTAGTTTCGGTGTGTGTTTGGCGGGCTAGGAGACGTTTCTTAACCGAACCTTATCTTTGCATCTTGTGAATGAGAAGAAGCAAGTCAGATACTGTGTAAATAGCGACTTTATGTAATATATAAATACTATGTCTACAAAGTAGTCATTGTAACATGTTTTTTTCTATACATTCTGTACATTTAGTCTATGTAGGTTTCATATATAACATTTCCAGCAGTTTCTCAATGTATCTCAAGTTCATAACTAATATCGTTAACTAAATAAAAGAAGGTTAGTGCTTAAAGGTGATGGTAAAGGCAGCCACAGCGTAGAAGGACAAGTTTCTAATTCACGTAATTTTACTTACAGGGAAATTGACTTGATAATTCCATTCACCTGGGGGTCTAGGAGACTCGAACCATGGACCCCACGCATGTGATGCCAAAGACAGGAGATTGACTGGATAGGAGGGAAGACTGGATAAAAGGAATATCTTTTATCTACTGGATAACGAAAGACATCTTTGGAGGTGATGAGACGGAGAACAAAACTGATCACAGAAGTCAAATGCTTCCGGAAACAATATATCACACAAGGGAAAAAGCAGAGGACCTCTCAAGCAACACCAGACCTGAGGACAGGATTAACGAAGCAGTTACACAAGCACTTACGAACCTGTTTATCTTTCCTCAGTCTTTGGCGGCTTCTATACAATTATTAAATAGTTAATGAGCACCAGGAGGCTGTTTATAACAAAACCAATAGTTGATTGGGAGGTTTTCATGCTTGTAAACTGTTTAATAAATGTAACCAAAGCTTTTTATAAAAGATGTTTTATAAATGTAACCAAAGTTTTTATAAAAGATTCAGAGAAAAGAGAGGAATTGCAAAAGGTGACTAGAATAAAGAGTTGATGGCAGAGTAATCAACGTAGATAAGGTGAAAAAAACATGTAAGAATTAGATGCAACCAAGTCAATAGAACAACACCTAATATTATTACAGCTGAAGAAGGCTGTAGAGGCACTAAGTCATCCACTAACAAAAAAAATTATATAAAACACACTACACAAGAGATCTAAAGTATAAAAATTATTACAACTTATTTCCAAAACTTAAAAAAGGAGACAAGATGCTCTAAATTACATTCAGAGTCACTAACAAACATTCAGTGTAAGGTGCTGGCGAAAGTAATCACAAGGAGAATAATGAAACACCTGAATAGGATGAACTTTGTAGCAGATTAGCCTGGAGTAACAGGGGAAATATTAATTCCTTTCCAAATTAATCGAGTTTGACAGGTCCAGTAAAACACAAGAAAAATAAAAGCCAGGGCAGACTGAATCTTCCACGAGTGTAAAAATGCATTCGTTACGGCTACTTATGAAAGGCTGGTGTAGATGGTGTAGAAATAAGCTGGGATTACTGGAAAACAGAGAGCTAGGCAATGGGGCCCCTAAACGACAAAATCACAGGGTCTCAGACAGAGAGTTAAGTTAGATGGAGGTAAAAAGAGAAGTCCCCCAAGGGTCGGGCCTAGTAGAGAATGTTGTTCTTAATTTATGTAAATGATCTACTTGAGGGAGTGAGCGAGTACATGTTAATGTACGCAAATGATGCAAAGCTGATGAGGAATGGGAAAAACCAGATTTACTAAAGAAAATTACAAAACACATTGACAAATTCCAGGAGTGGGCAGACAAATGGCTCTTAAAGTTCATTCCAAACAAGTGTAATATAATGTGAATGCCAAAGAGAAAAATGGGACGAGCAGGAACACACACACAAAGGGAAAATCATCTACAAATGTTAGAAAAAATTCAAGAGGGGATATAATATTAATTTTGACACCAGAGACACAAGTACACAAGGTAACAGTAGCAAAAAGAAAAAAACAAAAAAATGGCAAACACATTAGAATGTCATTTGGCCACCACAAAATGTCTTTCTCTCATTAGAGAGAAAGTAGGACATGCGACAATAGACAAAAGCTAGAAACGCAGATGAGTCGAATATATATATATATATATATATATATATATATATATATATATATATATATATATATATATATATATATATATATATATATATATATATATATATATATATATATATATATATATATATATATATATATATATATATATATATATATATATATATATATATTCGTACTCTATACGGGGGGTTAGCAAGTGGAATGTATTAAAAGGACAAGTTGTAGAAGCCACCTCCCTCCACAACTTTAAGCTCAGATTCGACAAAGAATTTGAATGTCAAGAAATATCAAATTGAACATGTAAGGTACAACATGACAATTTAGTTCAATTAAGGTTGAATTAAGAACGGATATAGGATTTTTACCTCACTTCCGCAGTCACTATTTGCAACGCACTGTTAGGTAAGCACACACACACATACACACACACACACACACACACACACACACACACAAAACAAAAGTTCACAGTTCAAATCAAAGTTCACCAAATGATTTAAATAGTGCAAGTAACGACTACGTATACTGTAAACCCACTTGATAAACCAAAAAAATATTTGTTAGTACACAAACCCATAATTTAATCCTATCTCACTCGATAAAAAAAACTATGCGTTGAATATATCACCAAGAAACACCGGCGCTGAAAAATGTATACATCTCTTATATGTATACTAAAGGTAGAGTTCTCGGTTAAGTTTTAAGTAAACTACTAGTGAATGGTCGAAGGTTCAAGGCTAGGAGTAGCGTCCTAGCAGGTGTCTTGAACTTTTGAGTGGGGATACCAGAGAGGGGGAGGGATAGAGGATGGGGTAGGAGGGTTGGTGGGGGTCCTAGCTAGTGCTGGTGGTGGCAACAGCCTCAGAGCCCTAGGAGAACACCTAGCCCCAGATGGCGTAGCAGGACTCGGCTTCAGAGATCCTAGGAGGAAACATAGCCTCAGTGATCCTAGGAGGAATCATTGCCTCAGAGATCCTAGGTGGAATCATAGCCACAGAGATCCTAGGAGGAATCATAGCTTCAGAGATCCTAGGTGGAATCATAGCCACAGTGGTCCTAGGAGTTCTCTTAGCCTTATGAGTTATCTCATAGTTATTGAGTTACGTAAACACCCAACTCATCCTCAGTGCTAATGTGTGAGTTCTCTTTATTTGGATTAAATAATAAATGTACATAATTTGACTTCTTCTTTATTGTACTTTTTTGCTTACATCTTTTTAGTACTCACATATTTGTGTTTGTGGGGTTGAGCTCTGGCTCTTTGGTCCCGAACTCTTAACTGTCAATCAACTGGTATACAGGTTCCTGAGCCTACTAGGCTCTATCATATCTACATTTGAAACTGTGTATGGAGTCAGCCTCCACCACATCACTGCCTAATGCATTCCATTCCATTCCATTTTAGTGGTTTGTGGGGAATGATTCTATTAAAAATGTTTTTGGTGAAAGATTCTATTAAATCTTTACATGTTTGAATAACTATTATTTCCCCCGAAGGCTTGTATCTCTTATAGTATCAATAACTGCAGCATTAAAGGTCATTTGATAATTGCTAATTGTTATTGGTAAACTTTGCTTACTGGATGGGCTACTGCTTTGCAGTGGTGGTGGAATATGCAATAAAATTTCAATCTGTTTTGCTACTATGCTGAGCAGAATGCATATATAGAGCTCCACCTTCGCTAAACAGCGATTTTGTTTGCGCACCGATTGTGCATTTGTGTCCACTTAAATCTGTTTGACGATTGGTAAGTCTCGGTTTTACGAAGTTGAAAGATAGTTGCACTTCTGAAAGTCACTTATATATGACAGTAAGACTTTGTTAGTCTCCAACTGCCTATACTGGTCTAAATGACTGATGTCACCCAGAATGCTGTTAGATATATTTCTGTCATTTATCTCACCACGTGATCCATCAGCCTCGTCGTGTTCTATGCAGCTCAGGAGTAAGTTGAAATATAGTTTACCAGATGCTACCTCGTACTTCAGAACGCCAATCTTTGACGTTCTACTGAGAAAATACATTATATACATCAACAAAACACTTACGAACGGCAATTTAGCGTCTGACTCTGGCACTAAATATGCTCCAAAGAGTCACTTTTCTTGTAAACTTATGATGGATGAGATTTTAATGTCCGAAATCTCAATTTGCCCTAAAATGACTTAGCTAACATTTTCCCGAAGCCATCTGTATTCCGTGTGTGTGTGTGTGTGTGTGTGTGTGTGTGTGTGTGTGTGTGTGTGTGTGTGTGTGTGTGTGTGTGTGTGTGTGTGTATGTGTGTGTGTGTGTGTGTGTGTGAGTGTCAGTCACAAGCACTCACTAAGCCTACAACTACATATTCATCAAGAAGGTAGGGTACAAAATAAATAACTTGACCGTGTTCTTCATCTTTATACATAAACATATCCACAATGTTTCCGAGACCTTCTCCACCAACGTCTCTATTATGCAGATATCTCTACAACACTGGTGTAGGAATCTGAGCTTAGAGGGCTTTGAGCTATTCACAGATTCAGGAATTTCAATGAGTGCAGATCTATGGGATAACGGCCAGCATAACTGTAAAATAAATTCCTTACCACTTTAGCCTTGACTCGTAACTCTCCTAGAGGCCTTGAAATGTTTTTCTTCTAAAATTAAGCAAGCTTCGATGTAAATGAAGGGTTTACCATTGGAAATATCTCTGTAAATCATGACATTGGGGGGAGTGGGGAGGTTGCAGTAATCTCAAGCCTTGTAAAAAAATGGGCTCTAACAACTTAATTAGTGGATAAGAATAAAGCCTGTTATTTACGCAGGGTGATAATGAGTTCAACCAAAATCTTGAATGTTAATATTGTGCTTTAATTCGCGTTATTTCGCGCAAGTAATGTACATGCATATTCTTGTACAAAATACACTGATATTGATATGAACACATATTCACACACACACACACACACACACACACACACACACACACACACACACACACACACACACACACACACACACACACACACACACATAAACACACACACACACACACACTCACACACACAGCAGTGATGTCGTGGAGGAAAACTCCATTCACAGTTTCAAATGTAAGCATGACAAGGCCTAATAGACTCTGAAATATATACACTAATTGATTAATGGTGGAAAGGCGGGACAAGAGCCGAAGCTCAACCCTAGAAAGCACTATTAGGTGAGTACACACATCCTGCCTAACGAATCTACTGAAGTTCTATGATAATGTAATGAAAATTAGGAAGGACAGAGAAACTGGAGCAGAATGCTTATTTATGAAATACCAAAAGGCCTTTGATGTAGAACGACACAAGAGATTACTACACAAACGTGAATGGCAGGCGGGAATAGCTGGAGGATTCACACTGAAGGCTGAAACATAACACAGATGTTGACTAGATCACACACTAGAAGGTGAAGGGACGACGACGTTTCGGTCCGTCCTGGCCCATTCTCTAGGTCCGTCCTGGATCATTCACAATCGACTTGAGAATGGTCCAGGACGGACCGAAACGTCGTCGTCCCTTCACCTTCTAGTATGTGGTCTGGTCAACATACATTAGCCACGTTATTGTGACTCATCGCCTGCATAACACAGATGTAGGTTAACAAGAGGAGTACCTCAGGGCATAGTGCTAGAACCCATAATATTTTTTTTTGTTAATGATCAGTCCACAGGAGTTGAGTCCTCTATGTCAATGTTTACAGACTATACATAACAAGTGAGAAGAGCTGAGACAGATGACAAGTGTAAAATTCTCGAAGGTAACTTTTAGCTGCACAGTTGATCCGAGAAATGGCTTCTGGATCTAAACACCAGCAAGTGTAAAGTGATGGAAATCAGAACAGATGACAGACCAAAAGGACAGTTCACAATGAAGGGAAACTACCTCCTTGTAACGGCAAGAGAAAAAGACCTGGGAGTGGACATAATACCAAACTTAACTCCAGAGGCTCATATAAATAGGATAACATTGGCAGCATTCTCTACACTAGCAAAAGTTAGAACATCAATCAGGAACCTAAATATGGAGGCATTTAGATCACTGTACAGGTGAGACTAATTGAGACCAATCTTAAAAGTATCCCGCCCCATCGAGGAGCCCAATCTAAAAAAACACACAAGAAAACTCCAAAAAATTCAGAAGTTTGAAAGGAGACTGTTCCCAGAATTGCGAAGGATGGTGAATGAAGAAAGATTGAAAGAACTAGACCTGACGTCGCAAGAAAAGAGGAGACGGGAGGCACGATTCAGACATAAAATACTTAGGAGGTATTGACAAAGTGGTAAAACAGGAAATATTTGCAATGATTACCAATAGAACAAGAGAAAATAGTTAAAAACTTGAGAAACAGATGAGCCATGGAAATGTTAGAATTTTTTCTCATATTAGTAGGAAAATGAAATGAATTAAAATAACAGGAGGTAGAAGCGAACTCCATACATAATTATTTAAGTACATATAAGACAAAAATAAATCAGGAGTCATTGCATTAGACAACTAGATGAATACACATATAGCGACATGTAGGCGAATACATACACCCTGCTACAACGTAAACCAGACGAAACACCTAACAACCTCATGAATCAAAACAGCTAACCTACAGTCCTAATGATAAAGTCTAAGACATATACATCCCGAAAACCACATAAAAATGCATGCAATCGTTCCCAATAACTGTATTCATTAATTCTCAGAATTATTGCAAATTACTTCAACATATACATTTAACTCTGCAATCCACAGTATTATTTAGTGGAGATAAAGCCTTGAATTGAGTATGTGAACGATAAAAGTCCGACAATACTTACGTCTTAACGTCTTAATTAAAGACTTGTTCAGTCTTGGTGCTTAAGAAATGGTGGCATAAAGTCAGATTTCCAATTCCCCATTTTCTATAATGCATACACAATTTAGGCAAGTTTATTTAGCTAATAAAAAAACATCACCAAAAAACATTATTGTTAATCAGATAACTGCAATTCCCTGAAAATATCGTGGAAGAGATCGAGATAAATAGTCAATAGCATAGAGAAGATTGGCTGGCTGATTAGTCGATACAAACCAGATAGAATACACACAAAGTTATACAAATAAAACTGATTCAGCTTGGCAACAGATCTCTGCACGCGTTGCCATGTTAATTCAAGCTAGTTTGTGATGGCAACAAAAACTGCCTTCACGTGAATGGGCCAGCTAGTGGCGGCGGAGCCCGGGCGCTAAGGGATAACGTACAAACAGGTTCGTGGGATGAGAGTTGTTGTGATCTTGATAATACTCAGATCATGTGACTCCTTAACTAGCGGTTCTCAGCGCACGACCTCTCACCAGAGCGGTTCTCTGTGCTCAACTTGTCACCCGCGATTCTCAGCGCCTTGTCACCCGCGGTTCTGACTGGTTCCGCCTAATGTGATGTTACTAGTACGCAAGCAGCCGTTCCCGCTACCTTTGCTCATCCAACACCTGTTTGATATATATACCTATATATATTATACCCTATTATAGTTTATATATCTTTGTATTATCCCTAAGACTTTATATATGTATATATTTATACCTTGTTTTATCCCCTTTATGTGATAACGTAAAGTAATCTCTTCATTCTATGGATGTAAATAGTCTATTAGGTAATATAACATGAAACTGGTCTTTTCTGCACTGGGATAACATACGCATCGGTTTGCTAAGAACTGCGCACCACGGCACTGATTCTGGGTTACAATGTGATTATTTTACGCATTTGCATAAATTCTGCGAAAGTTTAAACAATTTTCACTAATTTGTGGGGCAAAAATAGGCGCTGAAACAAGGATTGAGAGCCTCAGCCTGGCTTCTACTTTCCCCTATAAGGGCGATGATACGCTGGAGTAGTTAACAGATTGTGCTCTAACAGCCGCAGTTAAACAGGATGACAAATGAGGCCCATAGGGAGGTCTTGAGTTTGGACTTCCTCCTCCTCCTCCAAGCTGTAGCTTGGAGCTGAGGGGACATGATCTCGTCGTTTAAGATAAACCTTGTGTTGGTTCTATCTGGTCCTGTTATATAACACACCTTCAAGCTAGGCTCGACCAAGCTGCAGTTGATCTCAAAGAAACTGTGAGATCGACTACGAAAATTTACGTTACGAAGTACGTCAATTTTAACGTATTGTGTAACACTAAACAACATGTTATCGAATATATATATATATATATATATATATATATAAAAAATAGGGAAGGGAGTACCACCTCTAGCTGGAAGAAGGGGGACCCATAGCCTCGGAGGAAACCACGCATAACGCATTAGAGGGAATGTTTAGATCCAGAATGCAGAATCCAGAATTAGAATGTTTCATATATATATATATATATATATATATATATATATATATATATATATTTATATATATATATATATTATTTATCCATAAACAAAGGGTTGGCCGGCTGTAGTGACGAGCATCTGGCCATTATGACTGAAAAAGATTAAGCCACTCAAAAGGTGGCACGGGCATGAATAGCCCGTAAGTGGTGGCTCTTTTGAGCCATTACCAGTATCAATAGATGATACTGGAGATCTGTGGAGGTGCGACTGCACCCTGCGTGACGGGAGATGTCTCCCGTGACCATTATAAGATTGATAAAGATTAAGCCACCCAAGAGGTGGCACGGGCATGAATAGCCCGTAAGGACCATTATAAGGGCCAGCCTGCATTATATAGGCCGAATGACCTGGTGTAACAACCTGTTCCTATCATACAGGTTAAGCTTGATTACGGCCCAAGCTGCTCAATCATCCCCGGTAAACCTCGTGGTGGTCCGGCATGCTCAATCATCCATGCCCAACCTGAATGGCCATTAGTGCTTGCGGGGTATTATTCCCAATCCCTATAATGCTTGGCTTGATATTGCATCTATCTTTGGTCCTGTCATTTGTACGCACTCCAGCAATAAATTATTCCGGCGTACTCTAGAGTCTTAATGTCTAAGGAGAGGCATAAGATTACCGCCTCTTCATGCTTGTATTGTGACTAGGTTCCTGGGCTCCGCCTGTTCCTGGGGTCCTGTTCTTTAACTACCGAATGCGTTCTCGTAAGTCATTTTCCTTCAAACTTTCCATTTATGCTCACTCGACCGTGGTGAATACATATACATACATTCATTCATATTATATACATGACATATGAAGATTCTTATGCAAAGAAGTAGATTTTAGGAGAAAGGTTTGTTGTCAAAGTCACCTCAAGATCCACAAAGTTCCCAAGAGTCTCTATCCGTTAGAGTTAATAAGTCTTGAGTTTTTATAGAGTTTCACATGTAGAGAGCCACAAAAAGAGCTCTCAGCCTCTCCCTGGGGCGCCTTCGTACCCGCTGCAATAACCACAGGGTACGAATTTAAAGTCGTAACTTACAGAGGTGAGGAATGAGCTCACAAGGACGTCTGTCTGCGCTAGTGTTAGCAGCCCTGGGAGGCCAGTCTGCGCTAGTGTTAGCAGCCCTGGGAGGCCAGTCTGCGCTAGTGTTAGCAGCTCCTGGGAGGCCAGGTAGTCTGCGCTAGTGTTAGCAGCCCTGGGAGGCCAGTCTGCGCTAGTGTTACCAGCTCCTGGGAGGCCAGTCTGCGCTAGTGTTAGCAGCCCTGGGAGGCCAGTCTGCGCTAGTGTTAGCAGCCCTGGGAGGCCAGTCTGCGCTAGTGTTAGCAGCCCTGGGAGGCCAGTCTGCGCTAGTGTTAGCAGCCCTGGGAGGCCAGTCTGCGCTAGTGTTAGCAGCCCTGGGAGGCCAGTCTGCGCTAGTGTTAGCAGCCCTGGGAGGCCAGTCTGCGCTAGTGTTAGCAGCCCTGGGAGGCCAGTCTGCGCTAGTGTTAACAGCCCCTGGGAGGACAGTCTGCGCTAGTGTTAGCAGCCCTGGGAGGCCAGTCTGCGCTAGTGTTAGCAGCCCTTGGAGACCAGTTAGTCTGCGCTAGTGTTAGCAGCCCTGGGAGGCCAGTCTGCGCTAGTGTTAGCAGCCCTTGGAGGCCAGTTAGTCTGCGCTAGTGTTAGCAGCCCCTGGGAGGACAGTCTGCGCTAGTGTTAGCAGCCCTGGGAGGACAGTCTGCGCTAGTGTTAGCAGCCATGGAAAGCCAGTGAGTCAGCTCCAGGAGCCATCAAGCATATACGTAACCATTAGCGAAACCTATACATCATTTCTCAATGGTGGCGGCTTTGTTTACATTCAACACTTCGTGAGTTCCGAGGGGCTACGAGGATATAAAAATAATAACACAGAGTTTTGTAATTTTCGAAGCTCATCAACTTGATAATAAATATATGAAACAGCCTCAATGAATAAGCTTGACACCTAATTGTGTCTGTTAAAACCCAGCCACTTGAATTTGGGGTTGAGCTACGATTTATCATGGGGTAAAGTGTTCTTACCCACCTTACCCATATGTTGGGTAAGGTGTCAACTACCACCCACAGGATAGGTAAGGTGTCCACCACCACCCACAGGATGGGTATGGGGTCCACCACCACCGACAGGAAGGTTATGGGGTCCACCACCACCCACAGGAAGGGTATGGGGTCCACCACCACCCACAGAATGGGTATAGGGATCCACCACCACCCACAGGATGGGCATAGGGTCCACCCCCAACCACAGGATGGGTATGGGGTCCACCACCACCCACAGAATGGGTATAGGGATCCACCACCACCCACAGGATGGGCATAGGGTCCACCCCCAACCACAGGATGGGTATGGGGTCCATCACCACCCACAGGAAGGGTATTGGGTCCACCACCACCCACAAAATGGGTAAGGTCTCCACCACCCCTCCACAGGAAGGTTATTGGGTCCACCACCACTCACAGGATGAGTATGGGGTCCACTACCACCCACAGGATGGGTATGGGGTCCACCACTACTCACTACAAGTGCTGCATGACTGTCACTACAAGTGTGGTAGATGGGACAGTGAATGCAGTAGATTGGGCTGTGACTGTCGGGGACTGCTACAATGACTCTGGTAGATGGGACAGTGACAGTGAGGGATGGAACAGTGACTGAGTAAAGGGGTAACTAAGGTAAGCCTGAGTAATGGGTAAGGAAAGTACCCATTAAGGGAGGGAAAAGTTCCTAAACTAAGCTCAATGTCACACATGTTACCTGCCACTTTAGCTTCGATGAGAGATATTACAATGACATGTATTCATGCGATATGGACTTCATGCAGAGAAGAAAACCCAACTACCAGAGCTGTGTGTTTACAAGGAAGGACACGGCCGTGAGTGTGTGTGTGTGTGTGTGTGTGTGTGTGTGTGTGTGTGTGTGTGTGTGTGTGTGTGTGTGTGTCTGCCTTATTATGGCTTATTCAGAGTCTTCCTTATTATGGTAATACGTCGCATAAAAGTTAAACAGGGTCATTAAAAAGCTACTGCAATCATCCCCAGGCGAAGAAAGAAAGGTAGAGAGAATATTGGTGAATGGCAAAGAGAGAGAGAGAGAGAGAGAGAGAGAGAGAGAGAGAGAGAGAGAGAGAGAGAGAGAGAGAGAGAGAGAGAGAGAGAGAGAGAGAGAGAGAGAGAGAACGAGACAAATGAACAATATGAACAAAACACTTTAAAAATAAACACATAATCTAGTAAACCTAAATTAATAAGACTTACTGAAGAAAAACACACAAAGAGATAGTCCAAAAATCCCATAAATCTACAAAGAGGTACAGAAGTAGACAGAGAAGTAGACAGAGAGGGACAGAAGTAGACAGAGAAGTAGACAGAGAGAGACAGAAGTAGACAGAGGCGTAGATTGACTGATGAAGACTAAGCCACCCAGGAGGTGGCATGGGCATGAATAGCCCGAGGCGAAGGAGAGGCAACTGATCATTAAAACACGCAGGTCCACAACCTGACCTACGTTACCTACGCATTAACGCTGGTATGTGCTGCCCTCCGAGACAAGACGCCGTTGGCAACACCCAACACGTTACTATCTATATATATATATATATATATATATATATATATATATATATATATATATATATATATATATATATATATATATATATATAGATATATATATATATACATATATATATGCGAACAAGCCTGAATGGTCCCCAGGACATATGCAACTGAGTTTTCAGTTGCATATGTCCTGGGGACCATTCAGGCTTGTTCGCATTTGTGTTCCTCACGTGTGCCCCAAAGAATGAGGTGATTTGGTAAAATGCTATGCCCAAGATAACTATCCGAGTGCCGGCGGTGGGGTGGTTCATATAGCCTCGGCTATCACCTCATTATGTCCGGTCGTGATGGTCAAGTGGATTAAGGCGTCTTGTACATACCAGTTGCGTTGCTTCTGGGAGTATGGGTTCGAGTCACTTCTGGGGTGTGAGTTTTCAGTTGCATATGTCCTGGGGACCATTCAGGCTTGTTCGCATTTGCGTTCCTCACGTGTGCCCCAAAGAATGAGGTGATTTGGTAAAATGCTATGCCCAAGATAACTATCCGAGTGCCGGCGGTGGGGTGGTTCATATAGCCTCGGCTATCACCTCATTATGTCCGGTCGTGATGGTCAAGTGGATTAAGGCGTCTTGTACATACCAGTTGCGTTGCTTCTGGGAGTATGGGTTCGAGTCACTTCTGGGGTGTGAGTTTTCAGTTGCATATGTCCTGGGGACCATTCAGGCTTGTTCGCATTTGTGTTCCTCACGTGTGCCCCAAAGAATGAGGTGATTTGGTAAAATGCTATGCCCAAGATAACTATCCGAGTGCCGGCGGTGGGGTGGTTCATATAGCCTCGGCTATCACCTCATTATGTCCGGTCGTGATGGTCAAGTGGATTAAGGCGTCTTGTACATACCAGTTGCGTTGCTTCTGGGAGTATGGGTTCGAGTCACTTCTGGGGTGTGAGTTTTCAGTTATATATATATATATATATATATATATATATATATATATATATATATATATATATATATATATATATATATATATATATATAACCAACTCTGGACTCTGGTGTTAAATTAAGGAAAGTATTATTGATCTATAGTATCCATTTATGGTTTACCTTCAATGGATTTTAATCTAACTCAGAATATCCATATGAATGTGAAGATATTGACGCCTACCAAGATGAAATCATTGACCCTATAGACACCTCAGACATCATCCAATCACCTGTCATCAATATTTTATCATGCATTCATCAATTCCTTGTGATATCAATTTGTACGGGGACAGGAAGCTTGAGTGTTTATATATGTGTTAGGTATGTATCGCGTTTCTCCCTCCTCATCCTCCCCCCAACAAGGTGGAACCACTGACCCTCCCCCAGGATGCAACTCCACAACAAGTTTACTAACTCCTTTTGTTCCTATTTACTGCAAGGTGAACAGGTGCATTAGGTGAAAGGACGCATGCTCAATTATTGTGGGCCTGTCCGGGATTCCACTGACCTGCTCTATAACCTCAATCACCATGTAACCTCATCTACCCTATTCTAGCTCTACCTAAGGCCTACGTGGGTACATAGAAAATCGTATATGGGATCTATATTTGGGACTAGAGTCATGATATATCCACCCAATCGGGCAGCGATTGGGCGGTGAGTGATAGAGCCATAACAATTAGTGAACTCCTGCCAGTCGTCAGGAAGAGCTCATGTGCTCTATTAGAACAGCTCGTGCGCTCTATCAGCTGACACGAATGCCTCACAGTGATCTAGTGGGCGGGGCCGTGGATTTGAGAGGGCGGGACCGGATTGCCAAGAAGGGGCGGAGCCTCTATGTAACAAACACGCTTGTGATTGGCCAATGGGCGGGGTGGTGTCGTCATCGAGGCGGAGCCAATCGGTGGGTCCCGACGGCCGCTGTCATTGCCAGGTATGGCCTCGTAGGAGCATGTGGCGTCCAGTCGCTGCTTCCAAAAACTATCTGAGCTTCCGGATTTGATCTGTGGCTTGACCTAGATCCTAGAATTGTAATTTTTTTTGTTTGGTTTCTCGTGCACCCAAGGATGTTGAATATATTTATATTTCAGGACGGTATGACTCGATAGTGTTGACACTTCACCACGAAAATAGAACACACACACACACACACACACGTGTGTATGTGTATGTGTGTATGTGTGAATTACGGACTGGGCACAGTGTCATGTTACGGACTTGGCCAAAATTGGACTTTCCCTTTCTGTAACCTTGACAACACGACCACTAGTTTGTTTCAGAAAGGTTCGTAGTGAGTGATAGTACAATGTTTGTGTTTTGAGTACCTGTGGAAGTCGTTTGAACACATCAGACAAGTTCAATTACAATGTTTTTTTTCGGGGCGGGGTTAAAGGGGGGGGGGGGGAGGGGAGGAGTGATACGTATTGCATACACGTATATACATGGTATACATGGACAACTAGTAAGTGTATTCTGTTGCTTGCTTATATCAAATTTAGAATACATACATATATATATATATATATATATATATATATATATATATATATATATATATATATATATATATATATATATATATATATAGCACTTGGGTTTCTCTTGTCTGAAGAGCGCCACAGCTTCGCTATAATCTCTTGTGACAGCTTCACACTAATCTTGTATCACAGCTTCACAGCTTCACACTAATCTTGTATCACAGCTTCACAGCTTCATACTAATCATGTGTCACAAGTTCCCACTAATCTCGTGTCACAAATTCACACTAATCTCGTTCAGATACAAAGTGCACAGCACTCACATAAGATACTCAGTCTTTTCCCAGAAACTTAACACTAACTTCATCATTGTTTCATTACTGTGAATACATTACTGTATCAGGAAAATGCATTTATGTATTAATCAGAACTGCATTGTAAACGTATTGAAAAACATTACAGTGCACAGATTCCTGTACCAATCTAGTGAATTAATGTTTTATCATCATAACTGCTTTGGAACTGCAGTGTGTAACTTGCAGTGCATGCATTCCTAGACCTTGTAAATTCATTAATGTATTACAGATGCAGTGTCCTGTGTACCTGTGTATTCTTGTATCCAAATTCAAGTTCTGTACTGCTGTTTCACTTATTAATTAAGGCCACAAACATACTACTTCAACAACTACTACTATACTTTTTGAACTACAGAAAACTCAAAATTCACTAATCAAATACAAAACTATAATTCTCCACAGAATAGAATTAATGACTTTTAAAACAAAAGGCTAAACTATAACAGGATACGAAATAATAAATTTAAATCCGAATGGCCAATTGGAGTGTAGTTTCTGCTGTTTATTCTTAACATTCATGTTGCATAGAGTTAATATGGTGATAATGAGTCAGAATATTATATTCTTATATTAAGAAGATGTACGACTGTTATTTATATTAAAGCGTAATTAGACTAATAGTGAACGATCACATGACTGAAGCTTACTAGACGACAGGAACATAATTAGACACATATTGAAGAGTTAGTTTAGGCATGTATGTGTTACCCTGCATGTGGTACCTCTAGGATCTTCCATATCATAAAATTGGGTTGATATCCATATGCAGATGATGAGTCACAATAACGTTGCTGAAATATGTTGACCAGACCACACACTAGAAAATGAAGGGAAGCATTCGACTTGAGAATGGTCCAGGACGGACCGAAACGTCGTCGTCCCTTCATTTTCTAGTGTGTGGTCTAGTTAACATAAAATTGGGTTCTCTCTTTATTTATATTTTAATAAACACATTACCGTGGTGAAGGCCAATCAAATATATATAAAACATTAGTAAAGAGATACAAAATATTATGCCTCTATTAAATAAAACTCATCTCTATATCTCCGAAGCCCAATTCCTCCATTTTGTTGGGCAGGCACCTGGGAGGCAGTTCTCAATGCCACGGCGTACGTGCCAGGCACTGCCTTCTCGGCTTAGCTGGGGCAAGCGTCACGCACCTCGAATTGTTGAAGCTATGAACCTTATCGTAGCAGATTGGTAGAAATAGCTCTGCTACATTTATTTTGCTCTATGGTCTCTCTCTTGGTGATATGAAAGTTCTATAAAGT